TAGTCATTCATATAAGAAGATACATTAGTCAGTTATATGCCAGTATCTCGATGATCCAGTTTTGATAAAGCCAATATACTTGTATCGTAATGAAAAATGTTATACTGACAAAGAATGTACGTAAATAATAATAAAATTATTTATTTATTTATACTCTTTATTACACCAATATCAGAACCAAAAAATAATTTTTTTTTGGTTCATTCACATATTGTACTTAAACATTCATTTTAGTTTCTTTTGTAGCAAGATTTAAAATAAAAACAATAAAGTTTTGTATTCCATTTTTAAAACATGCACAAAACAAATAACCGCGTTCTATTTTTGAATTTTATATTTCTTTTTTATCATCGACTGTATCGATACGGCATCGTCACCTCCTTACGATTACATAATCAAAGGCAAGCGAGACTCATCACAATGTGTGAAAACATGTTTCGACTCCGAATTCCAACCTACACTTATACAATATAACATTATTATATACTCATATACTTTCATATGAAAAGAAGAATAAACAATTTATAGCAGCATACAGTATTATATCTTTTTATTAAATTAAAATTTAAAACAATTAATAGTTATAAAAAAGTAAAAAATCGATTTCACAATATATAACTATACTTTTTTTTTTAATGATAAACAATGAACTAATATTTTATCTGTGGTATTAAACACTTACGCTTACCATAAAAGTCGCGCCAAAAATCCTTAAGTTCATTGACCTTAGTTTTTTCCTTTAATAGTGTTAAAGAACAATATTTTTAAGTACCCATATCTATTCTTTAAATAATATTGTGATGTGATTAGTAGTTTTTATTATTATCTATTCTGTAATAAATACTAAAAAGGATTTTAAAACATCTTCTGTTCTAAATATGTTATCTGTGGTTATAAATAAATAAAAACGCAATCTCATATCTATAAAAATATCATCCAGCAAACCTTGTACCTAACATTAAAGTAATTAATATTTATAAACGAAATTAGGTATATTATTTATTCATATTGAAATGTTTAGTAATAAACATTATTATTTCATAAATGCCGTGGAATGTAGTAGCTCAATATTATCATATGTAATAATCTTGCATCTAAATAAAGTTAGTTATGATTGTGAATAGCGCCCGCCTACTCTATGACCTTTTATGAGGATAGCTGTATGACTCAATGTAACTGGCCGAAAATGGTCTTTGACTTTGTGTCTATACATTAGTTGTAGAGGGCATCCCAGTGATGATATGAGTGTGAATAACAGATGATGATCAAGGTCTGATCTTGAAATGTAAGACTTCTTTTACGTAGTTTAAATATTTTATTTTATTTTACTTGAATTATATTCACATTGTTTAATGTGATAAACACATTCTATTTAGGTTAGTATGGCCTAAATAGAATAGGTAAATAGTATTTTTACGATTATGGCAACACTCTTTTTGCCGCCAAAAGCTTGCGCTGTCATTACAGGTGCTTACTTTATTTATACTATATTTTATGTGAATTTCTTTGAATAAATATAGGTGATGCATCCAATTCGCAAAACAAAATATATTTACCTCGTCCTGAGGCGTTCTTAGTTATATTGCAAGATACATTTCGTTCATTATGTACAGTCAACACGGATAACTACAAACGGTCACCCATCCCAAAGATGACCGCATCAGACTTTGCTTAACCTCATTAACAGGCCGAGTACAATACAGCCTTATCTAATAAAGGATAACACATTTAGGATTAGTGTAGGCTACGAGGTTAAGCGAAAGTTGACTGTAGGTGTATATGCGACTTGCGAATTCACACACCTAAGTAACATCTTACGAGATATGTTTTTGTATCAAACTATGTAGTTACAAACCGCGACTTCAGCTGCAGAAATAGCCGCCAGCGTAATCCATCAGCGCAGGTCATTATCGATTATTTATATCAAAAGAGGTAAATACCTTTATTTGCAATAAAATTATTCGAGTTAAGACCCGGTTTAATAATATAAATATTTTTTTAATTATTTTCATCCAATCTGATTTAATTTTTACGACCCAACTTATTATTTTACTTTATGTACTTATTTAAATAAAAAAAAAATCTAATTTGTTTTATTTCAATAATATGAAATATTTTTTAAATCATAATAATATATGTTTTAGAAACACAATATGTCAATTGTTAAGCCACAACAACGAACAATCTGTACATATAAATAAAATTGGAGTGTCTGTTTGTAATATTGAAATAACCGTTATTTACTACATGCACATGAATATAAACACTGTATATACACCAAAATAAGATTTTTTTTAATTTTTGTCTGTCTGTTCGTTCCGGCTAATCTCCGAATTGGCTGGACCGATTTTGACGGGACTTTTTTTGGCAGATAGTAAGGAGGTGGCTGATGTAATAAGGAGTAACTTAGGCTACTTTTATTTTAGAATAACTCTTTTATTTTAGAAAAATAAAGTTAAATACCACGCGGACGAAGTCACGGCTGTTCCCGTGACTTCGTCCGCATGGAATTTAACTTGTATAAAATAAAACAAGTTTACAAAATTAAACACAAACTTTGATGTAAATTTTAATAATTGGACATTTTGATTTATGGCCGTAGAAATGACACGGCATCATGTCAAAAGATATGATTTTATTAATTAAATAAGAACTCAATTAAATAAACACCTTATAATTAAAGAAGCTAGGTAAAAAATCGTTTAACACATTTAATACTGCTGTATTCAGTATTTATAAATTATACATTTTTACAACTCAATTTTACAAAGTCGAAATCGGATTTCAAACGTTTTTGGACCTTATGCCGTTTGAAATAGGTGTCATCGATATTTTATCGAATTTATGGTTTATTTTGTATATAATTAATTATAATAGTTTAACCTTGAATTTTTAATAGATTTTTTATTTCCTTTGTTTTAAAATTATAGCGTATAAGGTTTCAGTAGCGAGACGTGTAATACGCATCTTCCTCTACTTATCATAGATATAATATAATAATAATAATAATAATCTCAGGACAATTCACACAGCGCCATCTAGACCCAAGTTAAGCTAGCTAATGCTTGTGTTATGGGTACTAGATAACTGATACAGATACATAGATATTATACATAGGAAACACCCAGACCAATACAAATAGTCACATGAATACAAATGTTTGTGCCGTGCGAGGAATCGAACTCGCGACCATCGGTCGGAAAGCGGTGTGCTAGACCGCTAGACCACCGAGGTCGTCATATATATAGTGTTTTATGGATGAAATGATGCACCTGCCTTTTCTAATGATTTCAGCTAAGCCACTATAGGATGATAAAATGCATGAAGTCAGATGAGTTAGCCCATCTTGGTAAATGGATTACCACGATTTTTTCCAGGGAAAATCGCGTGGAACCTGACGTAGCACATTGGTAGCAATGATGTTATTAGTTTACTGATAATCCCCACTCGGCCTTCAGCCGTTTCATAAGTCCTTCCTTTGGTTAGGAGTGCCATCTGCACTCGCCCTATCGTCCGGTGAAGCTGTAAAGGCCAGCCGCGGCCAACAGCATTAGAGTAGTCCGAAAAAATATATATACGATTGATGTCACTTTTCATCAAAAGGTCCATCAGGATTTTTCCACAAAAAAGCATCGAATTTAGATCCCATGCCGTCTTCAGTTAACCGGTATCCGAATGACTTGACTTGTGAGGCGTCATGCTAATTAGCTGTTTCATTTCCGGTGGCCACACGGCAATGACATTTGAGGAGTGATCGTGCAACACTTATTTGATTTATTAATTATCTCAGGTTTTTTCGGCTTTTTTGGTATGCAAATGTTAATACGCATATGTATATAGGGCTGCATTAATTTTTATAATTCATAATTTTAAAATTACCTCAGTTTCCGCCATTATTAATTAGTCAAGAATACGTTGTTTGTTACATCAACTTACGGGTCCAAATGTCGTAAAATCAAATCTGGTAAACACTAGGAAACTTAGTGGATTTTAACTTACGGGTCGCAAGGATCTAGTCAATTTGGTTCCCAAAGTGGATTTGGTGCATCTGGTCAAACGTCAATACATTGTTTGTTACATCAACTTACGGGTCCAAATATCGTAAAATCAAATCTGGTAGACACTAGGAAACTTAGTGGATTTTAACTTACAGATCCAAGTATCGTCAAATCAAATCTAGTAGACACTAGGAAACTTAGTGGATTTTAACTTACAGATCCAAGTATCGTCAAATCAAATCTAGTAGAAACTAGGAAACTTAGTGGATTTTAACTTACAGATCCAATTATCGTAAAAATCTAATCTGGTAGATTAGTAGGAAACTTTGTGTAAATTTTTATTTTTGACTCTCCAATGATGATAAACGAAAAAAAGTAGTCAAATAATCTCAGAGAAATGTGGGTACATCAATCGTTTGTACACCACAGCATCGACAATTTCCCAATCTTAATAATATAATATAATATTATGTATATGAAGTATAATTAATCGACTCATAATAGATTAACAGTAATCATATTTTGATAGAAATAGACATTGAAATAGAAATAATCTTTATTCAAATAAACTCAATACAAATACTTTTGAATAGTCATATTTTTGATTCTACCACTCCTTTGGAACACAGATTCATCACAAGAAGAATGAACAAGAAACTTGTGTACTTTTGATATGGTAACATCTAAGATTTTATGCTCACCTGTATTTGCCTCTCCGATTCATAGAACATCTTTATTTGCATGAACGTGCAAATACTTCAACACATATCGACTTATTTGAGGTCGTCATTCTAGTTTTATTTAATCTTCAAATAATTACAAATTTTACAATAATATGTTATATGAGTGTGTAATATTTATTTTATATATGTATAACAAACAGTAATCTCTTAAAATAACGAATCTATTTTATTATATATAAAAATATCACAAATACAAACATTCTACTCTCAGATTTTAATAATTGCTTACTTAATAAACATTTTTTTCTTATTGTTACAGAACCATGAAGCCACTACACACAGTGGTGGCGATATGCCTCCTCATAACAGTCACCGCCCTCCCAGAGAACATCGAGGACGTAAAAGAACTACCACAGAGCAAGGAGCCAGTGCTTGAAGCAGAAGAAAGCGAAACCAGCCCGAGGAAGGAGCGATGCAGCTCTTGCTCCGCGAAATTTAACGTCAAATCTCCAAATGACGTCCTCGCAGCCATACAAGCGCTACCAGGCGGTGAAGTGCACACTCAGCAATCTTTCGAAGGCTGTTCTAGCGATAAAGGCTGCGCTGGAATTAAAGTCAAAGACGGCAGAGTCATAGAGAGGTTCGGAAATGTTGATGCTTTCCGTGCAGCGGCTGAAGCGGACACGTCCAACGAATTCAGTTTCCACGCTGCCGGTAACTTCGGAAACGTATTCGAAGGCGGTATACCCGGCAACGGACCTTTTTGGTGGATGAACCAGAACTCGCCTTTCAAGAACGGCGGTGGGAACTACGAAAAGTTTAGCAAATCTAGCTCTAGCTCATTTTCCAGCAGTGGCAGCACTGGCGCCGGAGGCATAGATATTGCGGCAAATCCCTTCCTAAGTGGAGGTTTCGTGGCGGGAGGTGCAGGAGGAGCCCAAGCAGCCAAGCCAGCTGGCGCTTTCGAATCGTCATCGTTTGAATCGTCTTCTTTCAGTAGCAAAGGAAACATCGATTTAACTAAGAACCCATTCTTGAATGGTGGCATTAAAATTGGACAGGGTGGTTTCCAAGCTCAAGGTGGATTCGGGTCACAAGGATCTAGTCAATTTGGTTCCCAAAGTGGATTTGGTGCATCTGGTCAAACCACTAGCTTTGGGGCCGGATCTCAAAGTGCAGGATTTGGAGCTGCTTCTCAAAACTCAGGAGCTGCAGCTGGATCTCAAGGATTCGGAGCTGGATCTCAAGGTTCAGGATTAAACGCCCAAGGCGCTTTCACTTCTGGCTCTCAAGGATCTTCTTTCCAAAGTTCAAGCTCTTCTTCTCAAGGTTTCCAAAGCTTTGGCGCTGGACAAGCTAACAGTAACCAAGGAGCGGCCAATCAGGGTGGCTACAACAGTGGATCTTTCTCTGGCAACAAATTCGCGAGCAGTGGCTTCGTGGGGTCGTCTCCTAGACCCTTCACTGCCTCCACTCCAGGCGCCGGAATAAACCTTATCCAAAATACGCAGAAAACTAGTGAAATTGACTACAGCCAAAGCGTGAATATCGACGAGACCTCAAGAGGCTCAAGTGGCATCAGCTCCGGTGGTGCTCTGCAACAGACCTGCTCTGGACAAGGATATGTGTGTGTCCACAAGGCACAGTGCAACAACGGTGTCGTAAACTCCAATGGTGCCGGAATACTGCAAGCCAACTCTCAGGTAAGAATTTTAATAAATACAGTATGTAGGAACACAGCATATTCATAACCTAGTGAATATTTATTGTAGTTTCACGTTTAACGTAAGAAACTTCTGCAATTAAAACAAGAAATAGATATGATGGTTGTCAAAAATGTTTGATCGAATTAACACTTTCTTGAATGATGATTAACCTAATTTTAGGCAATAGTAATAACTCAGGATTATTCACACAGTGCCATCTAGTCCCAAACCACTTGTGTTATTGGTACTAGATAACTGATATAAAGACAACTGATAAATATTCCAATACAATCTCAGGATAATTCACACAGCGCCATCTAGACCCAAGTTAAGCTAGCTAAAGCTTGTAGCTTGTGGTACTAGACAGGGGATACAAATACATAGATATTTTTTTTCGTAAATACATACATATTATACATAGAAAACACCCAGACCGATAAAAACAATCATACTCATGAATACAAATGTTTGTGTCGTGCGAGGAATCGAACCCGCGACCACCGGCCTGCTAGACCACCGAGGTCGTCATCATCATCATCATTTTATTGTAAGTTATACAGTATAAACACCCAGGCCAATACAAATCTTTGTACTTAGTCAGGGATCGAACTCGCGATCATTAGAAGTAACGCAGTATGTTAAATCACTAGACCACCGAGATTATTATGTTTAGATATGTTCCTACGATTAAAAAATATCTAATCTTATCATATCGAAACTCAATCCACAATGACAGTTGGATGCAAAGGTCCACTACCTATCGGATCGTGTCTTTCATATCGTCATAGTTCAGAGAGGTCAATAATTTTGTAATAGCAGACAAAAAAAGCTATTTCATTGCCCTATCTCTTCAGAGCTCATCTTTCAATAAAGGTCAGATACTTGACATTTTTTTGTGTCCTAATCAACACTCGTAGTTACGCGTCGAGGTATCGCTTCACTACGTCTCTTTACGAGAGTAATGTAATCTGTTATACCTGCAATCATTATTATTTTCATCATTACATAGTATAAAATAAAGTCGCTGTCGCTGTCTGTCCGTCCCTATGTATGCTTAAGTCTTTAAAACTACGCAACGGATTTTGAAGCGATTTTTTTTATTAGATAGAGAGATATTCTAGAGGAAAATTTATAATATGTGTACACCCGGGCGAAGCCAAGAAGAGTAGCTAGTCAATTATAAACGTAATTCTTTATTAATGCAAATTATTATCGTATAGTATCATTTTTTGTCAATTAATCGTATGTTTTTTAAGATTTGGCACCGCTATGAGAATTGAATCCAAAACGGCTGTATGGGCTTAGACTCTTTGCCTTTCCTAAAAGGATAAGTGAAACAAAAAAAAATGAATCCAAATTATTAATGTATAGTGTTATTTTGAGTGTGTAAAAATTAAGATATACATGCTGTGTCTACAACTAGTAGGATGTACTACTTAAATAGTTAATTTTATCTGTGTAAATGTTATGTTCTCTGTAAGACATCCAGTTTAGTAGACCTAATAAAAAAAAACAAGTAAATTAAGTAACTAGCGAAGTTTTCCAGCGTAAATTATGATGAAAATTTCAATTATTCTGACTATTTACAAACTTCATTTGTATTCATCGAGGCGTTTTAAAATGATTGAGTAAACATCAATTAGTAAATCTTTATGAACTTTCACATTTAAAATCACATTAGTAGTAAAGTCGGATTACTAACAAAAAGTGATGTTAAATTACGATATAAAGGCAAATAACTTTTGCAGTAAACTTTGTAATTTCTACGCCTATCATAGACAGTTTATGGACTCATAAAGCTTTATGGCCAGTACAAATAAGAACTTTATTTTGTGCAATTTATGAACTATATTTCTTCATTAGGTAAATTGAGTATTGCTTATTAGATTTAAAAATATGTAGCATAGGTAATAGTAGTTACAGAGTAATTAACTGTGCGTTTTATAAGATTTGGCACTGCCGTTATGAGAATTGAATCCAAAAAGCTGTATGGGCTTAGACTCTTTGCCTTTTCTATAAGGATAAGTAAAAAAAAAATTTATCGAAATTGAAAAAGGTAAGCTAGCACCATTACACACATAATTTTTCTTGTGTTTCAATTAAACCAGGCTTGCCCATATCGATAAAACTTCAATTAAAAATGCACCTACCGTGCTAAAAAAAAATTCATTCATACCATAGATTCATACATATTTTTTTAATTTCTAGTGACTAAGCTAGCCTGGTAATAAACAGTAGGATAGTATAGTGTAAATTAATAACATTCAACTCTATCGTAAGCAAAATTCCTTTGCCGGGATTACAGGGATAAACTTATGGAAACAATATTTATGATTACTTTATTTAGTCACAATAAATATTTGTCGTTAACATTTTTAAAAATGGAAAAGTATAAAAACGAAATTATTTCGAACGCGCGGTCCAGCTGTTTTTAATTTATGGAAATGTGATGTATTTTATTATATAAAGGATGCATAAAGTCATAATAAAATGTCAAGGATAACATTAAAATTCCCAAGTTAGTTACGAACCAGGATATCTGCGAAGCGGGAACTGGTTTTGTCACTTTTTTCATAAAGAAAGGTGACTTCTTTATTTAAATTTATAAGCTGTTGCGTTCCGACCTTTCGACGTACAAGTGTTATTTTGTCATATTCTATTCATTCTTTTTTTTTTATAGAACAATAATATGGCTTTGGAAACTGCATTTGGTCGATATATTTTTTCTATTTTAAGGACTAACGTGACTTTATATCGTAAGTAATTCATATATACAGTAAACAAGTTCCGATCTTTCGACGTATAAATGTTATTTTGTCATATTCTATTAATTCTTTTTTTTTTTTTATAAAACAATAATATGGCTTTGGAAACAGCATTTGGTCGATTACTTTTTTATCTATTTTAAGGACCTAATGTGACTTTATATCGTAAGTAATTCATATATACACTAAACAAGTTCCGACCTTTCGACGTACAAATGTTATTTTGTCATATTCTATTAATTCTTTTTTTTTTATAAAACAGTAATATGGCTTTGGAAACTGCATTTGGTCGATATTTTTTTTTTCTATTTTAAGGATCTAACGTGACTTTATATCGTAAGTAATTCATATATACAGTAAACCAGTCCGCCTTGACTTGTACTTACATAGCCTGAAGATGTAATCTCGTTAACAATAGTCGTATTATGTCATTTGTCGGACATTAAATATATAATAGTCATAATTATTATCTTGTTATCGAGATGTTAGTAATATTGACATTTTATATATAATAGATACAACTATCCGGTGTACTGAACTGGTTTTATTTAATTAAGGAATAAAGCGCTTGAAGCGACATTGCACCTTTAAATCTAGCGGCTTGATGGTACAACATTGTTGCTAATAATTCCCATTAAAATTTCATTAAAATAGCATCACTTTTATAATCAAGCGCTATATATATTTACATAATATTAACATAGACGGCCTTGGTGGTCTAGCGGTTTAGCACATCGCCTTACTTCCGAAGGTCGCGAGTTCGATTCCTCGCACGGCACAAACATTTGTATTCATCAGTATGATTGTCGATCTGAGTGTTTTCTATGTATAATATGTATCTATTTACGATAAAAATAATCTATGTATTTGTATCAGTTATCTAGTACCCATAACACAAGTTTCAGCTAGTTTAACTTGGGACTAGATGGCGCTGTGTGAATTGTCCTGAGATTATTATTATTATTATAGTTTATTGCACATTCTTCTCGTTTAAAACAACACTGTGAGTGTATCGGTAAAATAAAATAAAATACTAAAGTCACTCAATCGAGCGATATAATTATTTTAATAAAGGTTCTTTCTATAGACAGTTTGACACCTTTGCGATAATATATCAATCTTTTGACAGTTGCAGTTATAAGCCGATTCGCAAATGACGCTATCAAATAATACATCCGTAATCGGAAATGTGTCATTTGGAATCTGTTTCAAAAGATTACGCGGTTGTGTAACAAATTCAATTCTCAGATCTTTGTGGTCATGTAGATTAACGTAGTTATGTAGATAGATTGAATATCACAAACTCGAACACATTGAAATAATTTCTATTTACAATAATAAATAATAATAATATCAATATGAAATAATAACAAGCATAAATTAATATTTTTTCTTTTTTTGACAATTAACACAGCGCCATCTAGTCCCACGGTAAGCTGAGCTTGTGTTATGGGTACTAGACAACTGATATAAATACTTAGATATTTCTTTTTAAATACATACATAATATGAAAAACACATAGGCCGATACAAACAATCATATTCATGAATACAAATGTTTACACCGTATGAGGAATCGAACCCGCGACCCTCGCAAGTAAAGAAGTGTGCTTAACCGCTAGACCACCCAGGCCGTCAAAACGCCAGGCCGACACGTGGTGAAATATTAGTGTAACAAAATTAGAAAAAAAGTACTAATTGTAGTGTCCTAATAATAATTAGTACTTTAATAATTGTTAGTAGTAACCTCCACGCGGTTCCCCCTAGAAACCATCGTGGTGTCAATCACGATGTCAAACTGGCCTGACCTCATGCTCATCTTATCATCCTCCACTTGTGCCCCGCCAGCGTAAACAGTAGCGCAGGCGGGTGCATCATTCCATTATCAACCATAAAAAAAACCATCATCTTCTAGTAGGGTTTGACCCTACAGACAACTCGTTCGATAATGCACATTCCTACATTCAAGATAAGAGCTAAATCAGTTAACATCCTACTGCAGTTAAGCAATAAACGTAAATAAAATGCAATTTTAATGTCGTACATGAATATAAAAATAACGTCAGCAACAAAAATACTGTATATTTAATTAAAAATAAATATAATTTATTTTTTATTCCTCTTATTATCTCTTACGGTACTAAAAGGTAAAATAATTATTAAGATTTCTTAAGGGTTGTCAACGCGCACGTAACATCCCTGATGTTTCAGTCAGTCATAGACTATGGTAAC